GTTATTTTGTACTAACGTGGTACTATCTAGTATCATAAAATCCGCAAATCCAGTACCGAAAACTTTTTTTACATGAAAAACCATAAAAAATTCTTAAAAATGTAAAAAAACTAATAATTTAAAAATCTTTGTTTTTTGAAATAAAAATAAAATTACAGTTAAAATGTAGAAATATTTTAAGTTTCTACTATGATAGATTATTTCTAAATGCTACAGCAGTATTCCAAGAAACTTCACGCTTTTCGCGAATAGTTTAACGACTTTTTGACTTTAAGGCCCCTAAAGGGTATAAAAAAATAAATCAAATGCATTAGGCTGGGTGAAATATAAAAAACTGCTTTTACTCAGTGTTATTGGTAACTGTAAATAATTTCAATCACCAAAATTACAAAATTGACTTCTATTCACGTAAAGCTTCGCAATTTCTTAGTGTTTTTGGAGTAAGTTGCTCAGCTTTACTTGAATAAAAGTTTGTGCAGTTATGCTCAAACTTTTGTTCATGTAAAGCTGATAAATTGCTTCAAAAACGCTGAGAAAAAGCAACTGCTTTTTTTTTATTCATCCGGTTTAATGTAATTTTTTTTTTTTAATATTTTGCCGTTTAAAAATATTAACTTTAACAATAACCAAATATATTTTACAATTTTTACATTAGTAACGACAGGACTTCTAGAAGATCATGAGGATCTTGTCATGAAGCCCTATACAATATATGATTAGTTTTTAATAAAAATACAATGTCTGTAGTGAAATAATAATACACCTGAAAAATTAAACAAACGACTTTTTGGTAAACTTTGCCCATTGTGTTGTGGCTCAAACTTATGCGGTTGTTTCAACGTTTCAAAGCGCATTGTTTCTCCGTGCAGCTACCTTGTTTGATGAAGTTCGTTTTTCGAAGTTCTAGAGCTAGTTGAGGGTTGTAACCTCAGTTAAAATAGCCTCCTCTGTAGTGACTTTGGGGAATAGAATTAACATTAAAAAGAAGACAACGGTTTTCGGCCGACTGGATGAGAGTAGATATCTTAAATACAAACAAATATTACTTATATCTAATATCTATTTTATTTCGGCTTCAAGCTGCTTTTGATTGGTAAAGAAGCACTTAGGATGCAGGTATAACTTGTGGTTATCTCCTTTGACATGCAAAAATTTTAAAGTAATCCGTTGGTCCATGGGAGAACCTGCTTCAAAACTTTGGCTCAGTCGCCAAAATTTTCTGGTCTCAGCTCCAGTAAAACGCAAACTCCACTCTTTAGGACGTTTTGTTATTTTGGTTCCAATGGCAATGATCTCCAGTTGGAGGAAGAAAAAAAACCAAGACATAAAGACGCATCTTATATTTTATTACGCCGTTTAAAGTATGCTGTAAAAATATTTTTCAGATAGCAAGGTACTCCAAAAGGATCTAATCACAAACATTTTTACAGTTTCTGCTTTCTTCCTAACCGGTGTTGTTTTATATGGCCAGAGTGAGGATCTAATCACTGTGTCGCAGCTTTTTATTTTGGAAATTAAAGGAATATGATAGTTGGCCAAATTCATCTCAAAAAAAAAAAAAAAAAATTTCTGTATAAAGTTCACTAATGTTTGTTCAATTAATTTTTCAAAGTTTACTTATATTACTTACAAGAAACTCGGGATGCTAAACCCACTGGCCAGATAAACGACATTGGTAAGGAAAGAGTCAAATGCTCCAAGTCAAATGCTTTTCCGCATTGCTCTATATTAAGGCCGTAAGGAGTTTTTTGAGCACTTTAATAACCACACTCACACATACACACATACACCATTTTATATAAATTTCTATATATATATGATTTTTTTTTGAAATTGACGATTGTGCCCCTCTACTTCGAAACACATGTCGTCAGCCCTGATTCACTTTAAGTACAACTAAATATTAAATATAAATATTTTGCGTACATATAAATTTTAATGCGTTGTAATATCCTCTAAAATACCGGAAATTTACTAAGAATTTGAAAATATATAAGCTATAATTTTGATTTGGTGTAGAGCAGGGCCGCTATGAGTCGTCACGCTGCCTGGGATAGCAACCCTAATTGGTGCCCTTTTATTTATCAAAATTTTCCTATATTATAGATGAAGGACCTTTTTTTTTAGCTACCTTCTTTTCATTTGGCGCTCCTTGGATATCTGCCGCCCGGGACAAACTGTTCCTTTCGCCCCTACCCCCTCTCCTCTTGGGGGCACTGGTGTAGAGCATTGCATAGCTCAAAGTTTATTCGAGAAAATTAGATGTATTTTTAAACATCTAAACACAACTATTTATAAGCGGAATGCCAGTTTTAACACTTTTTTTAATTTACTTTTGGTGACAATCATTTTTATTTTATAAAGAAAGCGAAGCGGACATACTTATAATTACACGTGGAATAAGAGTTTGCTTCGATTAACCGAAATACCTCATTGAATATGCTCTTTAGAAACTATTTTTAAAAACCATAAAGTTTTCACAAAACTAACGAATTAGAAAAAGTAGAGATTTGAAACCTTTTTTTAGGAAAACAAGTTTTTGTTACAGAAACAATATTAAAGAAACTTTTAGTTTCTTCTTGAAAATATCAAAATTTGTTCAGAGTTTTAGTTCAAACTTCGAATAAAATACTCAATGTTTTTCATTTAAACATTTTCAATTTCTGTGCAATGCACAAACTAGAGAGAAAACAGTCCGATAATATTTGATACAATAAAAATTGTTTAAACATAGATACAACCCAACAAGGTTTTCAAGTTACAACTGTAAACAACCTAAAATGCATTATTTGGCTCTATTGTCATTAGAGTTCCTAAATTATGGAAAAGATCTATATAATACAAATGACCAGAATAAATATTCTTCCTTTTTTACTATTTAAACAAAAAATTAAAAAAAAAAACTTAATGAATTAAACTCTTTCTATGGTCTCTTTTTTTATTATTTCAAATTTTCTTTAAGCGAATTTATTTGTTTATCTTTACATTTTTAGTTTTGATTTAATATTTAAATCTAATTTTTAGTCAAGTTTTTGAACAAAATAATATTTAGATTATTTCGTTTAAAATAATTTTTGCAGTTATACGATATATATATATATATATATATATATATATATATATATATATATATATATATATATATATATATATATATATATATATATATATATATATATATCATTTTATATATATGATATATTATATTCTAATTATATTATCATTAGATTTTTGTATATTTAATAACATTGTTTTCTTGTAACTATTACTTGTTATGTTTATATGCAAAACGAGTAAACTTAATTGTACATATATATAATTTTTAAATGGTACACAGTAATTTTATTTTTTTACATTTTGATAATTGTAAGACGCTTTACAATGAAAGCACGCAACAGATTGCGTGGAATAGTGATAATACAAATATTGTCTTCATTATTCCCTGTGTAATTATAATTTATATTACATGTTATTGTATGCATCTTTTACTGAAAAAAATATTACCTATAAAATTACTATTGCATTGGTGTTGTTATTTTTCTGGATTTTCCGCCCTTTGTGCGCCCTTGATTACAAAATTACTCATTTACCAAAATAGTAGAAAATATGCAAAAGCAATATTATACTTATAAGAGTTGACTAATTTAACATTTTTCATATAAAAATTACAGTTCAGATCAGTAAAATTACAGTTCAGGTCAGTAAAATTACTGTTCAGGCCAGTAAAATTACTGCTCAGGTCAGTAAACATAGCCTGAGGTTAAAAGACAACAAATATGTAAGTATGGTCTACTTCAATTCAGTATTGTAACATGATGAACATATTACAAACACTGATTTAAAAAAAAATTTAAAAACTATTGTTTTTGAGTAAATAAGTTTATTTTTTCTTTTAATTTAATTGTATTCACAGAATGTCAGTCAGGATTTTTGCAAAATCCTACAAATATTTGACTGGCATTTAATCAAAGTGAACAAAAAATCCCTTCGAATAAACAAAAATTTTGAATAACTGCATGATTCAATTAACTTAAAAATTTTTCCACGTATGTTGTGGAAAACCTGCGGGGAATGAAAACCTAATTGAATAAGTGAGAATTTTTAGTAAGTGCAAATACGATAAACCGGGTAGACTGTATTTCTGATTTCAATTCTTTATTTTATTTTATTTATTTGAGATTAATGTGTAATAAAAATTGATAACGCTGTGTTGTTTAATAAATTATGTTTACTGTGGGTGTTAAATAAAATATGGTTGTTGTGGGTGTTTAACAAATTATGATTTATTGTGGGTGTTAAGTAAATTATGAATATTGTGGGTGTTTAATAAAACGCTAATTGAAATAATTTCAAACTAAAAATTTTCTCCCACTTACATTATCCAACTTTGTTTAATCAATAAGGTAGTAAGTGGTTTGAGTATATAGAAGCTTTTTATTTTAAAACCATAGTTTCCTTTTTTTTTGTAATTAGTTGTATAATTTTAAGTATTTTTAAGTTTACATTATTATTAATGCATTACAAACATCACATAACTAGATGTAAATACGTCACATGTTACGTATACATAAATTGACGAACCGTTAAAAAAACTTGCAACAAAATCATAGATTTTGTTTGTTGCAAAATAGTCACAATTAATTGTGACTATATTAATATTAATATATACTTTAATTAAATTTAATAGTACAATTTTTAAATTAGCAGTTGCGAGTATAATTTAAACTAATCGAATTTTCTCAAAAGCTAATCGCTGTATTGTTCTTACCTAGGTTTGTTCTATTTGTGTTCTTAGCTAAGTAGTTTCTATTTGTGTTCTTAGTTAAGTTGGTTCTGTTAGTGTTCTTAGCTAGGTTGGTTCTATTTTTGTTGTTAGCTGGGTTGTTTTTATTTTGAATAGTTTAAATACTTAAAATAGTTCAATAACTTAAAATCAAGCAATCATTAAAGTAACAAGCAACCGTTAAAGTGAGGTCATTTAATTAAAATCTACGGCTTACCTTTCACCCAGCATATCTTCTAACGTTTCTCTTCTAAGTTGAGCTTTCATCTCAGCACTTTTCCCCAAAACATTGCATTCGTTTGATGAAGTCTCTAAGTAATTTTTAAATAAAGTTTACGTTTATCATTTATTATAAGAATAATTAGAAATAAATGACTTCCTTACTCCTACATAAGTTAGTTATCGTAGGCTAAATTGATTAATAATTATAACGTTGTTTTCTCTAGATTTAAAGGAATTTAATTGAGGTAAACCACACTTTTAAACTGTATAGTGATTAATATTAAAAAGTTTTCCGCTTCAAATATTTTTGTTAATAAGAATAAATAATAATTCCAACAATTAGTTGATGTTTATAGGGAAATACCGTAACTCCAGTGCGCAAGTATTTTTCAAATAAATTTTACAAAAGAAAAAAAAAATTTATGCAAAATTTTAAGATTTCGCTATCGTCATTTATAAAAATTTAGACTGATGTTCTTAAAGTCAAGCTAATTTACTTGATTAAGAAGTAAAACGCTCTACAGGTTTTGGTCTAAATATCTGAAATACAAATGTGTTTCGTTTTTTCGCTATTCATTATATCAGACTCTAAGGTAGTGAATGTCAAAAATGTTATAAATAAAGAATTAGGTACCATAAACTTTATGGTACCTAGTTCTTTATTTTAGTAGCATCCTTTTTCATAACTCACGATTTACGATATAAAATATATTCAGTGTTTGCTTTACAAACAACCTCACAAGTTTATTTAATAATACACATTAAGAAACTACTACTTATTTAAAAAGAATAAAAGTTCATATGTGAAATCTTATACACTTTGTAGCTTGCTTTTCTTGGTTCAATGTAAAAAAATTAAACCGTGGAAATTTTTTTAAAACTTTTTACCCTCTAGTTTGTGATTATAAAGTTTTTTTTGTTTTTGTTGTCATTTTTATATATATACATATATAAATGACAACAAATCAAAAACATTTTGTTTTGTTTTCATTTTATATATATATATATATATATATATATATATAATATATATATATATATATATATATATATATATATATATATATATATATATATATATATATATATATATATATATATATATATATATATATATATATATATATATATATATATATATATATATATATATATATATATATATATATATATATATATATATATATATATATATATATATATATATATATATATATATATATATATATATATATATGACAACAAACCAAAAACAACAATGTAAAAAAAGACATATTGTTACTATCGAGTTAAATTTCAATTTGAAATCTATCAAAGTTAAAAAAGATGTCAATCAATTTTTTTTTTTTAAATCTCGAGTTTTTGCAGAACTGTCAGCCATAAAGCAATAATATTTTGTCACAATGTTTATCTTATCATAATAATTTATTGCCTGTATCATAATAAATTATTGCCTGTTCAGTTTGCAAGTAGAAAACTTGTAATCAAAATTAATACGACTATTAAAAATTAATTCATTTGTAATTAAAACGAGTAATTTAACATCTGGTTATATGATCGGAGCAAGATGACCATGTATTTTCTGTCTCCAACTTAATAAAACTTCAGAAACCACCAACTATTTTAAAGTATCCCAAAATAAACACGTGTTTTAAAAACATGCGTTTTAAAAAATAAACATGCGTTTTAAATAAAATTACATCCGTAGAACACGAGCAATAACCACGTTTTAGCAACAACCCAAGCCGTAGTATTTTTATTGAATTTTTTTTTTTATTGTTGTTGAGTTTGAGTTTTATATGTAAATCTATCTAACCCCATTTGCCAATATGCCCTATTTTTCCGAAAATCTTAAAACAATTAAAATTATTATTTGCGTGTACAAACAAGGAGTTATAATATTAGATCTATTATACCTCCGTGGTACAATAATATTATTATTATAACAGATTTATATTACCTCCTTGGTACAAGCTTTTCACTAAATGTTGTTTTTTTCAATAGATATTAAAATATCGCTAAATATTATTTGAAAAATGAGAGTAATTGTTAAAAATCTGTATATTATATAAACGTGTATACGAATGCACATTGTATGTAAAGTGCCTGCATATATTTCATACATATTATGCATGTAACATGCATGCATGTATTTTATACATAATATGTATGTAACATGCATGCATATATTTCATACATAACATCTATACATTTTATGCATAAGTGTTTCTTTATTTCTCTATTAGAAACGCATGTTGCTAAAACGTTGCTAAAACGTTGCTAAACTTAATAAAAAAGAAAAGATATAACAGTTATTAGAGTTAGTGAAGATGTAACATGTTATTGGTGGTTACTAAAGAGCAGCTGCTACATTTACTCTAGATGTAACATGTTACTGGTGGTTACTAAAGAGCAGCTGCTACATTTACTCTAGATGTAACTTGTTACAGGTGGTTAATAAAAAGAGTAGTTGTTACAGTTACTCAAGATGTAACATGTTACTGGTAGTTAATAAAGAGCAGCTCTTACAGTTATTCTAGATATAAGTGACAAAAAGCTGACATAATTAGAAGTCTCTCATTGTTATAATGCGCCAAAATCAATAATTCGTGGTTTAATTAGAATCAAATATAAAACAAGCGTCGTCAATGCATCAAGAAAAATGAAAAAAAAATCACTGAGGTAAATCTTGTTTTTCTTTTGAAAATTTTGGAAGAACTTGGTTTGGCTTGAAAAGTGCAAGCGTTTTGGCTTTTGGTGAAAACTATTTGAAAGAATCAAATCAAACTGACTTGTTTACAAACGATTAGTCATCTAAATTATGATATTTTGACACATTCATGAAATAATGTAAAAACGAAATTCGAATTGGTGGCTAAGTGGTAAACAAATGGTAATGCGATAAATTTCGCTAATTAGATGAGAAATCACGGACGCATAATTACAAATGCAATATTTAGTTAGGGAATTGCAATGTTGTCATTTTTACAGAGCGAATTTTTATAGTTGGGCGATTTATTGTGGGTTAACTTTTATTAAAAAATTGAGTGCGATTTAATGTGATTTTTTTTTATCGCTTATCGCATAATTGAAAAAAGTCGCTTTTCTGTTAACCGACAATGCAGTAACGCCAGTGCTTACCTAGTAGCATGCAATTTAGAGAAGTGTCAACACAATCAAGGATATTTGATAATTGGTTTCAATATGACAAGAGCTTATCAATTAGTTTCAATGTGACAAAAGTTTATCAAAAGTGCTTTATATTTTTGATTGCAATGAGTCTAATGCACAATTTAACGCTTCATATTTTCAATTGCAATCAGTCCGTTGTACAATTAAACGAAGTTAAAGTAAATGTTATTTTTAGAAAAAAGTAATTAATTTTTTGTAATTTTCTGTCACACCAAATGAAAAAAAATAAAAAAAAGTAACACTGCTTATAATATGATGAAAAGTACCGATAATGTGTTTATAACACTAGCGAATCAGGATGGGTGTTTTTTTAGTATAATAATATTTGCTGTTTACAAATAAAATGAATTACAGAAGAGTTTCACGTTGTAAATAATGATAAGTAAAATAGTTTAAAAACAGACCGAGACTCAGAGATAATATGGGCGAGCATAACCAACTTTTCTTTTCATAGAACCTCTAACTTAAATAAAATATAACCAAATAAAATATTAGTTAAATCCATTAAAAATGTATATTAAAAAATATGTACAAACTGACAATCTGAGCTACTGATATTAATAATCCAATGACCACAAGACATGTTTTAGACTTTTAAAAAATGCATTGATATGTTTTAACACGTGTTTAAACGTCTGCTCACTGGGAAGTTATAAATTTATGTAAATTTGAGTAAATTTATGTATATTTGTTTAAGTTTATGTAAACCTATGCAAGTTTTGTAAATTTATATAAATTTGGTAAACTTATGTACAACTTCAAATATATTTATAGATAAAATAAATAAATTTAATTTAGTTATTTGAAACCTCAAAACAAATGAGGGGTTATGTAACATTTGAACACTTAAGTATTATTAGTTAAAATTTAAAGTTTATTAATGAGTATAAAATTAGTTTAAAATAGTAGTTATATGAAACTGTAGTTGATAGAAGTAGTGATTTATTGCTTTGAGGAGGAAACACAAGTTTTAGGGTTTAATTTTCCTCATACTCTAATCACTGTAAGACTTTGAAAAGCATTTTCATTTTAGAATAGCAATTGATGCAACACAAGTTTCAAGTGTTGACTTTCCCACGTTATCATTTTTATAGCATTCAGACCAAATCACATTAATGTGAACCTGATTTTTCAACCTGATAATTTGAACCTGATTTTTCACACAAAACTTTGGTGAAGACACCTTTTTAATAACCTATTGGAACCAAAATTTTGTGTAAAAAATCAGGTTTAATTATATCACTGACAAATTCTGGAACATTTATGCTGTTGAGTTAAATTAATTTTAAATTAATTTTGTCTCTTTGAAATTTACACAATAACGTTAAACTTTTAACTATGAGAGAAAAAAAGACATTTGGTATTCTTTATCGATGTTGTTTTATGAACAGTTTTAAATTAGCTTTGCTTTTGCTTTCTTTATGCCATACAAATTCTTTTTGCTTTGTTGTATCTTTGTTGTGTACCTTAATACAACAACGACAACAACAATAACAACAACTACTAATACTACAACTACTGCTACTACTACTACTACTATTACTACTACTACTACTACTACTACTACTACTACTACTACTACTGCTACTACTACTACTACTACTACTACTGCTACTACTACTACTACTACTACTACTACTACTACTACTACTACTACTACTACTAATTGAGTTTGGTGAACTTTTACACTAATAAAGATGGTTGACTCAATTAACTCAAGATTGAAATTATTTAAATATGACGTCATTATATTAGTGTTGATCATCTATCTGCAAAAATAAAATCTGATCACATAAAAATATTTATTTAAAACAATAACAAAATAATATTTTTTGTTTTGCTTGTATAATTTTTTGGTGTTTTTCTTTTTAAATTTAGAAAAATGTTTTATTTAAAAAAAAAATTATCTTCGGTGTAAACAATGGCTTTTGGATTTTGATTCATGTGGATTATTTAGATTCCTTGATTAAAACTACTAATAAGTCTATTTATTCAAACAAACTTATGTTTCATAAAGTAAGATTTTTTTTATTTTGATCGTTTCACTATATTTATATTTTCTAATCTTTATAATATATTTACGAAATTTTTTAAATTTGTATTGGTTTGCTTAAATAAACCCTAAATCTCTGTAAACTTATTGAAATATTTATTTCAATAAATATATAGGGGAATAAACATATCAAACAAACTAAAAACAAAAAACAAACAAAAAAAAGTCACAGTAAAAACGACAAAAAGATGTTATTAATAAATTATAAAAATAATAAAATAATAAATAGAATTAAAAATTATAAATCAGTTGATTAAAAATTGATTTATGGGTAATCTCTTATTATCCTCTTACATTTCTATATGCAAATTGTAAAATTTTAAACTTTGAAATAATTTTTACTTACTTTTTATTTTTCTCAGTTTAAAATATAAAATTTCTTAATGAGTAATAATTTACAATCTTCTACCTTTAAGAAGTTTAGTCTCAAATTATTAATTAAAAAAAAAACAAAAAAAACTGACATCTGCTTTTGTATGAAGAAAAGGCTTTAACCAGCTGGTAAAATAAATTGAAAATTTTTCGTTAGAAAGTAAATTTATGGTTATTATAGTGCTTTAAACTTTAATTATATAAAAAAAAAAATTAAAATCTTGCTCAATATAAATCTTATTAAAATTTATTTATAACCGCTTTAAAATTGAAACTTTCCGTTTAACAGACTATTGTATAATACAGTGTTTCTTAAACTTTTTAAATTTACGACCTCATTTATGATTGGAAGTATTTTCGCGATCCAAGATAAATATAAAATAAAAATGAAAAATATTTTGTGATTATTTATTGATTAGGTAACAATACGCAAATATATGAAATAATTAAACAAAAGGTTTTAAAATTGTATTTTTTGTTGTTAAAAAATTTATGATCTTTTTTTCATTATAACTTTTGAAATAATTGTTGAGTTCAGTAAATATCTTTTTGTATAATGTAAACATTTTTTATTTGGTTGTTTTTTTTATTATTTTTATTCTTTAAAATATCTATTTAAAAATATGTATCAATGAAATTTCAATAAATTAAGGTACTTGAATAAACATTACCACTTTTTATGTTAAACCAGGGATCTACACATTATGGCTTGCGAGCCGCATGCGGCTCTTTTATTCAGGTTGTATGGCTCTTCAACATGCCCTTGAATAGTCGTGTGAATAAAATTTGTATGCAAAAATGCAAACATTGTATTCAAAAACTGCAAAGTTTTGAATGTAATGCTTAAATATAAAATACTATCGATGTGAAAACTGAATAGTTAGATTAGAAATGGAAATTAATCTAACTACGTTAAATTCAGCCGGAGCTAACTTTTGAAACTATGCTGCACTTTTACTAAAAATTTATTTTCAAAGTTCATCACGTAAAGGACTTGGCAGTAAAATTATTTAAATATAATTGTCTTAAAAACATTAAATTTTGTTTATTACTTAATGAAAATATTAGAGATGTAGTTCTGTTGTTTAAAAATGTTTCGGTCACTGTACTGATATTAAAGCACTTTTTGTCGTCAAATGCTTTTGAATATGCGGAGTATAACAATGATATTTGGTTAGAAAAATTTTATTTTGCTATGGTAATTAGAACTCATTTTAACAATCTCATTAATATATTGCAAAGAAGAGACAATACTGCACATTTGATTTTAGAAAATGAAATTTCTTTTGAAATTCAAAGATTTGTGGTACTTTAAGATGTTAACAACCAAAATGTTGACACATCTATTTGCTTTTTCTGCATGAGAGAAAATATTGAGAAGCTGGAAGTGTAATTTAAATTGAGTATTTTTTGACTGCAATCGATAAAATGAAAGATTCCATTGCTAATCCTTATTCAGAGTTCGAAAAAGAAAACTTGCTTTGTCATTTTTATATATCTATTTACAGTAAATTTTGAAGACCAGATTTCAGAATTCATCCGCACCCCCCCCCCTTTTTTTTTTTTTTTCTAAAGGACCTTTTTTATTAAATTTTTTTTTTTTTTTTATTCAAGAAAAATATTGATTTTTTCCACAAATTGATGATTATACCCCTCCCCCTTTTAAAACCCGTGTCGTCGGCCCTGTCAACCCTTGATCTATTTACAGTAAATACCAACGAAATAACGAAATACACTGACAGTGTAATATACAGTGTCACTGTAATATAGCGTAGTACATGTCTTGCAATATAACAAACTTATGTTGTTTTTATATTTTTATTATTGAAACTTTTATTTTAAGTGGCGATAAAACTAAATTTCTCTTCTTTTTGCCCCAGCCATTTATTTATGTCTTTGCGTTGCTGAATTTTTTTTCTTTTTATCGGCAAAATTCATAATAAAAATAAGTTATAAGATATTTAAATATCATTGAATAGTATAAAGTAATAGATGTTGATAAGAGTTTTTAGTTTTTTACTCTAGTATCTTTGCGGCATTTGGTATCACTCGCTAGCTCTTAATCATGCAATAAAAAAGTAAGCGACATTTCTTATAATATTTTAGCAATGAAATTTCTTAGCAATGTCATATAAAATTTAAATAATTTATAACTTTTAACTCATATATATGAGTTAAAAGTTTTTTTAAGCTAAATCACGAGTTAACATTAAACATTAAGTATGAATTATAAAATGAAAAAAATACAAGAATTAAAGTTAAACGTTTGACGAACAATGATAAGTAGTATTCAAATACCAAATGTTTGCTCAATTATTCAAACAGTATTCAACAAATATATTTGGGGATTAAACCTTACTATCACAGCTAGCACACACACACACACACACACACACACACACACACACACACACACACACACACACACAAACACAAAACAAAAAAAACGCAAATAATAGAGTTAAAGACCAAGGAATCAGTTGATAGTAGACTTAAAAAGTTGTAGATTGTATCAGTCAGGAAAACATGAAGATGCAAGAGAGTTCAAAAGAGTTGAAGTGTGGGGGAAAAAACTAAACAAGTAAAAGTTTTAAAAGCATGCAGAGGCAGATACAATAAAAGAATGGGACTTTGATGAATAAAGAGTCAGTCGAGAATAGGTTTTGGTTGATGGATGATGATAGCTTCTTTGAGCAACAGCCATGATAGTATTTGTAGAAAAGAGAAAGAGGTGCAACTTTACAATATGGGAAAGAGGCTCAAGCTTAGCAGTTAGAGTGGGTCCAACTACGTTTACAATACGTTTATATACAAGGCCTTGTCTTAATACAAGGCCTTGTCTAGAAGAGAAAGAGCATCATTAGAAAAACCAGCCCAAATATGAAAACAGTATTCTATACAAAGGTGAATAAGAGATTTGTAGATGTAAATGTTAATTTAGCAATCAATTGTACCAGACAAGAAAATTTGATGTGAGCTACAGGTGTTATAAAATGATAGCCACACTTGTGGTGCTCGGCAAATTTTCTTGTAATGTATATATAGTTTCCATGAGAGGTCATTAATGAACAATAATCCAAGAAGAATCAGTAAGAAGGTTTCCATTTATCAATATAGGAATGTCGACAGTATTGCAATAGTTGTTTGCAGTAAATAACTAGGTTTTTTGGAGTTAAAATTTATGCGCCATTGCAAGCCCCAATCTGTTACAGAAGTGAGATTAGGTTTAAGATTGGCTGTCTGTTCTGAGCAATCAAAACAAAAAAAACTTTTTTTAAAGATAAAAGTATAAAGTTAGTCTTCATTGAATAAAGCCACCTTAGATGTAAGGTTGTCAGAAAATTATATATGTAGATAAAAAATAAAACAGGAACAAGTATTGAACCTTGAGGTATCCCAGAAGTTACTGAAAATGAAGAAGAGTGTTGGCTTTTAAGGATGACTTTAAAAATGAATTTAAAAGAAATGATTTGATAATCTCATTTAACAAAATAAACTTTCCATATGAAGCAAGTTTATGGAGAAAACCAGCATGCTAAGCTTTGTCAAAAGCTTGGCATGCTGGTTTTCTAATCACGATAAAATCCTTCATCTAATCACGATAAAATCTTTCAGTCACAACAGTTACCAAGCCAGACACAAGAGGGTTGAAAATCTTGTTGATAGTCTGACAGTAAGTTATTTGACTCAAGATAGGATGTTAGAAATTTGTTGAACAAAGACTCAGAGACCTTGCTAAAAACAGACAAAAGACTGATCAAACGATAGCTTGAGCGGTTCTCCATATTGGAAGAATGTTTCTCCAGAGTTTTTAAAAAATGTGACATAGATGCCATTTTCCAACAGGTAGGAAAACAAGATTCAGTCAAACACTTATAGAATAGTTTAGACAGAATTGAATTCGGTTTTGAAGAACACTTTTGCAAGATTATGACAGGAATGTTGTCTGGACCACAAGCTGAAGAGTTTAATTTAAATATGACTTAGCAACGGAACCTAGAGTGATTTGAATGTCTAACAATGGGTTAAAATACTTAATTGGAATAAAAAAAAAATTATTGCCATAGGATTCAAGAATCGAAGTATAAGAAAAGTTTTTTGCAAATGATTCTGCCTTATCCTTGGGAGAGGTCATAAGATAAATCCATTGAATAATTTGCGGCCGTGGCGCAGTGGTTTGAACGGCTGCTTTATAAGCAGGAGATCACACAAACATAGACATTCTATCACAGATAGCACATAAACATAGACATTTTATCACAGCTAGCATACAAACATAGTCATTCTATCACAACTAGCATACATACGTTCGGCAAACTTATTTAAAACATTTCTATGTTGAACGATTGTCATGTGTTTGACAATAATACCAATGAGTGGATTAATAACAGCATGCAGAGTTACATTGGTCTAACGTATTTAAAAATATCACAAAAGTTGATTGTTTTTACGATCTAAACCTTGGTTTAACATAATAACCCAATGTAATTCAATTTATATGAACCAACGTTGATCTAATGTATACTACCAAACGTTGCGAATTCAAAATACTTTAAATATAGTATACCTTAAAAAAAATCTTTCGTAAATATTCAAAAACTATACCACAAGAAAAATAAAAAGTGAAAAAATATATTAACATGTTAAAAATATATTTAATTTCGGAAGACTCTAAATGCAACGTTGATTCAGCTAAAGACACAATGCTGAACCAGCGTAAAATACAACGCTGCGCTAACTAAAAAATGCTTCGTCAAATTAAAAAACGACTTTTTTCCAACATAATTTATTTATTATAAAACAATTCTTGATAATTGTTTTTGAAAAATGAGGAAGTCTTTAATAACAAATAAATCGATGGTTTGAAGCACAACAAATAAATCGATGGTTTAAAGCACAAAAGACATGTAATTATTGTTACTTTTTGACAATTTGGCCTAAATATTATTAAGAATAATTAAATGACATACACGCTATTTATTGTTAAACAATCTGAAAAAAGGAAATATTTACTAATTTACGTAAGTAAAATTGTATTTTTATTCAAATTCACATTGTTTTTATGGAAAGTTAAAAACCATTAATTATAATTTGATATTATAT